AAATGATATCTTGTCATGCTACGCAACGAAATTTGGGATAAGAAGCAGCCATTCTTTGATGTCAGAAATATTTGTAATTTACTGTTGTCAAGTGTAAAGACCGCTTCGTTCGCGAGTTGCATAAGCGCACACCACAGCTACGACGCTCAAATGTCATCCATATCATCAACTTACTTGCCACGATTTTACGTAATGCGTCTTCGTGCCTGTTTGAGAAAGATTGCGACGAGTTCGTGCAGTGATGAGTAGCATGCAACGTCCCATCAACCATACTCGGTGAGTAAGCTGATTTCGCTCTTGAGAGCGGACCCAATGATTTTTTTAAGTTTTAGTTCGACATGTTTGCCATTTGGTTTCGCTACTTCCGATGCTGAGGCGTTTAAACTCCACCACAGACTGACTTTTAATGACCAAGCGTGGATCACCTAATGACGCACTAGTTGCTCAGAAATTCTTGTCGCTTTGTGAGTGGCAAGACAAACATGATCTGGTTGATGATAACCGTATGATAGCAACTCAAGGTTCGCCTGTCGGTGAAGGCACACATATTTCGACGTTCGTATTAAAATCATGACCAATGCTTCTGTGCAGACCAATGAGGTTCTTGACTCTTGCACACCGTGCTACATACTCGCTACTTACTCCAGAGCGGAACCACATGCCTTTCAAGTCACATAGATTTCTTTGCTCCTATATTACTCGATAGAATGAAACATTGAAAGGACTAATTCTGTTGAAACTAGCAATTAATTCGCTAACTGTTTCGCATGAACTGTATTTACCCTAGGAATCTTTTTTAATGAGTTCGATCATCCTCATAAGTAACAATTACACAATAGCATAATGCGTATTCTTACTTTCGTACGATACTTCTGTTCGAAAATAAATACTCAACAGAAGTGTTCAAAATCGAGACTGATTTTTATTTATTTCACTAAAAAATGTAACCAGAAGGCGAATTCCCAAGTTGAATGCGTGTCAATATTTAAGTTTTATACACAGATCTCGCAAGATGGTGCTACCACCGGCGATGTAACACTATGGCAGGATAATCTAAATGTATACCCGGCAGAGCCAAAGCTACCCCTATACTCCGACCTTAGCATTAATACCGTATACAGATTGCTGTGCTAAGTAAGATTTTGTGTCACAATTAATGCATCAGGCAATTTTTTGCGTGAAGCCACAAAGTCAAGTAAGATTTCTACGGTCGCAGAACATCAGCAGTGCTATCTAGTGACATATGTAGCGACTTTGATTGCTTCCACTTTGCAATAAAATTCAAGTACAACTTTCATCGTGATGCACACCAGTGCGATTAGTAAGTTAATTACGTAGTATATGACTGCTGATTTGTAAGGACTAATCGTGTTTATTATCGACTAGTGCTATCAAATCTAACAGTTTATTTCTTTTTTGCGAGACTAATAGACAACACGCAGTTATCATTCGTATTCACAAAGTGACAACACTATCTTCAATGTACAATGGTCCGAGTTCCGTCAGATGATCTGATGCCTTTTTTTAAACGTGCAGCAAATTGAATATGTTGAGTGTGTAGCGTGCTTTTCCTCTGTATTATTTATGTTTGATATATTAAAAAGACCCAACCAACAGGGCTCTGCCATACTCATAAAAGATATGTTAACGACAACTTCAAGGATGTGGTTCTTTCGGGAATAGAAATTTGACATCAAGAATGCGTGTAAATACACAACTTGTGTTTGCTAATGCAAGAACCATCGAAAGTATAATTACATTATACTCAAAAATTAAACGAAAAATGATGAAGAAAATATGACAAAGAGGCGTCAGATCTAGAATTGAACGTTGCATTGACCGCTTTCTCACGTTAAATTCGCCACTAAATGAGTCAATGCAAATTATAATGTCTATAATCTTATTTATGTTAAATGTCCACATATCATTGTGTCTGAGTATCTAAGCTATGATAGTAACCAATCAACAATGCGTTTGACGGGTATAAAGCTCTAATGTAACCAATCATAATGGGTAAAAAAGCAATAATATAAACAAGTCTGGTTATTTCCACATAAATCATAGTCAAGATCTAAGAAACTCATGCGAGGTGCATTTTACGTGGCCACTGCTTTCCTCATCGCGAGTAGCACCCGCACAGCGGCTGAATCTGTCCAGATCAAGTCTGAAATAACGCAAGACCTTGACAAGTTGCCAGTTGGTGATTCTGACACAAAGTCATTGCCCAGACGATCTCTTAAAGGCAGCGGAGATCGACTGGAAATCCCAGTGGCTGAAGAAGAGCGCGTCATTCCAACTGGAGTACTCGAGGGTGCAGGGAAAGATGTGTCTGAGGCAATTTTGCGGTTAGAAAAAAGTGGTGATGACTTGAACAAAATGGTTAAAGTCGGAGAGGGTGTTGGCTCTTCCGCCACCTCAAAAGGAAAAAGAATCCAAATTTTCCAGAAGAGTCATAAAGACGCCGTTGCAGAACACCAGCAAGTCTTTGACACTTATAAACACGCAATCAAGAAAAACGAAGCTTTGGAACTCGAGCGTGATACAGCTTTAATTAAATCTCACAACTGGAAGCTTCTCAGCGACTATTTTTCCGCGCAAGCCGCTAAAGACACCAAAAATTACCACAATTACCACACAATATTTAGCCAACTCGATAGCGTGGTCACCCCAGCCACTGCAAGCTACAAAGGCATCAAAAACACACGAGAAAAATATCTCGCCTTGCTCGAAGAATCCTTTAGTCGAGCCAATGCTGCCAAGCATGCCGGAAACATGGACGAATATAATGAAATTCAAGTCACCGTAGCTGAGCTATGAAATATGATCGACAAAGCTAACCAAAACATCAAAGCAGCCAAAGCCTTAATCGATTTTAATGCCCGGGATCACTTCTCCGCTCAGATGTTTTCAGAGTTACATACACGTGATCATTGGATGAATTTTTTTGCTGCTGAAAGGTACAAGAACGCTGCTAATGAAGCCTGGGAAACGTACAAACGTCTCGATACTGAGGCTGAACAAGCCGCTCAAGCCGTCTCAACTGCCGAAACCAAACTAAGCGCTCAAGTCAAGAAAATTGCTTTCGTGCCTCCAGAGTTCGAAGCTGCTCAAGCCGGTAAAAGACCTAAATTCGACCTAACTTTCAAAGCTACTCTGGCCGAGAAACCCACTCACGCTACCCAAGGTCAAGCCGCCTCTCCTGCTCATTTTGCTGTCGACAGTCATGATATTCCAGCAACTGAAGAGCTGGACATGACTTTGAGCCTTTCCAACCCCACAAACCAAGGGACGAAACTCAAGAGAAAAAGAAAACAAGACCAATTGGACGACAATCGTGAAAGTGGTTCAAGAATCGTCAACGACCTTCATCCTGCTATCGCACAGCCTGCAAGAAATACCCTTCCTGACTTAAACTATGAGCCAATCGTGTCAAAAGGTAAACAAACGCTTTGACAAGCCTCTCCGCTTCAAAATACGTTGTGAAATGATTTTGAGACTCTTTGGGGTAATCAAAACGAAGCAGGCTTGTTGAAAAATATATACTTTTATTTGGTTATGTAGCAAGCTAAATGTCCATGTGCGTTGGAGCTTTACATTTTCGTTGTTACATTTTGTTTGATCATATAGCTCACAACACTGTTATGCTTGTACAAAAAAAGTTTGAGGCTCGAAGTATCCAATCAAT